TGACCTGGATCACATGCCTAAGGAGGGAGAAGCGATGGAACTAGTGTAGAAAGGACACCATCTGGAGGTTTGGAATTGGAGAACAACTCCATTCTGTCTAGGTGCATCAGCCAATGAGATTTTAGGTTACCATCCATTTTAGAGAGGGTGGCTCTGCGTTTTGGAATTGTATTTATGGAAAATGTGTGTGCACAGGGTGGCCAGGAAGAGAAGGAGGGCCATACCTAACTCTTGCTTTTCATGGGCACAACATCCCTCCTTTAAGTTGCCAGCCCGACTCCTCATGATTTGGCAAGATGCTTTTCACACCACCCAACCCTGACTGAGCTTATGACCACGTTAGACCAATCAGAATATTTCCCCCACATTTTGCCAAAACCGGTTTGGCTCAGTAGATAGAGCATCGGTCTGCGGGCTGAAAGGTCCCAGGTTCGATTCTGGTCAAGGGCATGTACATTGGTTGTGGGCACATCCCGGGTGGGGGGGGGGGGTGGTGTGTGCAGGAGGCAGCTGATCGATGTTTCTCTCTCATCAATGTTTCTAGCTCTCTATCCCTCTCCCTTCCTCTCTGTAAAAAAACAATAAAATATAAATATTTTTTAAATATTTTCCCTACATTTTAAATCCTGGCCTCAGTTACACGGGGCTGGAAGGTGACTGCAACTGAGGCTTCCCACAGCACCGTTGAACCAGAAAGCCCACCAACTCCTGCTGCTGAGATCTCTGAGCCAGCACAGCCCTGGGTCCTTTCTTTACCAAGCCCCGATCCTCAGCGTTTCCCTTTGATTCAGCGAGTGACCCAGAATCTTTTCAAAGAACACTGCTTGTTCATCCGTCTACTTGAGTGACATGCAATTTAATACAAGACACTTATTTACCAAGGACGATGACCTTCTCGGCACCAGACTAACTCTTTCTGATAAATAACATTTCATTTACCTCCTGCGGTTGTGTAAGGAGTAGCTGGACCTTAGTGGACGCTGTCATGACCTCATTTACATCTCTCAGGCACATCTGAGTGCTCCAAGGCTAGTCTCGGCACCTGTGCTGAGATGGTGGTGTAGAAATAGCTCAGAAACCCTCTGAAGTAGGGGTGTCGAACTCAATCAGAGAAGGGGCCAAAATCTAAAATCCAGCCTAAATCGCGGGCCGAATGGTTTACTGAACAGTCATAAACTGTCATTGTGATGGAAACGCAGCGGAGTGCAGTGATGACAGCGCGGTGCGGGCCACATTGCAAGGCCTGGCGGGACAGATTTGGCCCGCGGGCCTTGTGTTTGACACATGTGCGAAGTGTAATAATTCTGAGGTGTGTGTGTTGCCTCATTTTCCAGCCTTTCCACATAGTTTTACGTTTTTATCTCCCTCTGGCCTCAGAGAACACTTTTTGCTGATAATTTCACACTTACTCTTGATAATTTCCCCTTTCTCAGTCCCCCAAATAAACCATTTCTCTCTAATCCTTGTCTCTGGTCTTCTCCTGGGGGAAAGCAGATGGAACCCAGTTGCTATGCTGGATCTATGGGAAGATGAGGCTCAGAATCTGGCCTGCATTATACACTCCAGAACTACTAACTCACCCCTTTTTATACATGAGGACGATGAGACAGAGGAGGCAAGGACCGCCTGGCTAGTAGGTAGAATATGCAACATAGCAAGTAGGATTTACTCAACTTGGATTTACTGCCCAGACTAGGGTTTCTCATCATCGGCACTATTGACACTTAGGGTCAGACAGTCCTCTGTATAATGTTTAGCAGCATCCCTGGGCGCTATGCACTAGATGCCAGTAGCACACCACTCCAGTTGTGACCAGCAAAAAACGTCTCCAGATTGCCAAATGGCTCTGGGAGGAGGGGACAATCCCTCCATGTTGAGGACCATTGGCCATGATAGGTCAGAGGTCCAGACCGATGGAGAGAAGCAGAGAAAGAGACACACACGTAGCTTATTTATTGACCTTGTATAAATCCTTGATCCAACCTTTTCTCTTCCGACTTCAAATCTGGCCCACTTTCCATGAGGCCAGGCTCCCTGAGATCAACTGTTCCGTTGCTCTGCTTGTGATGAAGTTCTTTCCTATTGAGGAACGTCCTTTCCAGTTCGGCTTCCTGGGCACTTACTTCATCAATGTGCCCTCCAGGGCTGTGCAGAGGCCTAATCCCTCTTCATGGATGGCACTTCAACTATTTGAACACAACTCCCGTGTCTCTGTCCTATAGACTGACGGGGACTGCATGCCAAGTGCTGCAGACACACAGGGAACAGCTGTCGGACCGTGAGTTCAAACTTCTAAGCTCTTTCCAGACCTTTAAACAGGAATGTCCAGGGGCTGGAGTTCATGCATTTTAAAGCTTCCAGGTAATTCTAAAGTGGCCCAATATTTAGGAACCTCAGACCTAATTTATTCCAGCTCAGGCAACAGAGTTCTGTTTTGTTTCTTAAAGCGGGGACCTAAAAGATGGCATTTGAAGATTCATTGCAAAGAAACTCTTAAAATAACAGGATATTTGATACTAGGTCAAAGAGGTATGTTTTTATCTAGTTTCATATTGAGTAAAATAGCTTTATATAAAGTTTATACCAAAAAAAGGTCCTAAAGGTTGACACCAGAAAATGTTAGTCAGGCTTACTTCTCCTGAGAGTGGGCTTAAAGGAGATATTTAAAAATTTCTTCTTTGTCCTTGTCTTCATTTTCAAAGCTTGTGGGGTGAATATGTGAATGTACACACACATATTCTCAGGCATTGCAATCTGTTTTTAAAAGTTACTTAAAAGGTGTAATGATGACCATCTTCTGTTTCATGTAGGGATGATGACATTGCTGGAAATAAGTTACAGAAGTTCAGGGCACAACCATAGATCTGAACAATTTGGGGAATAATAAAAGCATTGCAATGATGGATTTGAAAAAGACTCCAGACCACCTGCCATCATTTAAGGGAGTGAGTGAGAAAGAAGACCTAACAGTCATGGGACCACAGTATATCCACACAAAGATCCAGAGTTAAAAGAAACCGGCATTGATGCCGAAACCAGTTTGGCTCAGTGGATAGAGCATCGGCCTGCGAACTGAAAGGTCCCAGGTTCGATTCCAGTCAAGGGCATGTACCTTGGTTGCAGGCACATCCCCAGTAGGGGGTGTGCAAGAGGCAGCTGATGGGTGTCTCTCTCTCATCGATGTTTCTAACTCTCTATCTCTCTCCCTTCCTCTCTGTAAAAAAAATCAATAAAATATATTTTAAAAAAGAAAAAAGAAACGGACATTGAAAAAAAAAAGTGTGGCAGCAGAGAAGAAAGTAGAAATGTTGGATAAAAATAAAAATAGGTGAAAAAATAAAATTTTTTTTAAAAATAGGCTCTTATATCTACTCTAGCTAAATCGCCATTCATTCGGCTCAATGGTTAATTATAGTCCCTCATAAAAGTAAATGATTATTTAATTCCTATTCTCCTGAGGCTTTAAACTACATATCCTATATTCTATTTTAAGGGTTTCTAAGCTTCCAAAAGGAGCAAATGCTCTTCCTCTTTCCATTTTAAGAAATGTGTGCCCCTATTTCTATCAAATAAATTACAACAGATTGCTTTTTATTTTGAAGGAGTTTTCTGATTTCCTACTCACTGCTGCCCCAACTAAATACCTCTTATGTGACTTTAAGCCTTTGACTCATGTACCTTCTTGTCGAGACTGTTCTCACATCTTCCTCGAAACCTTTTCCCTTCCTCTTGGTAGAGCCTTGTGTTGCAGGAATCAGGGTCCAGGACAGAGTCCCCAGCAGGCAGGCCTCTTTCTTCAGCCACAGGAGCTTGCTGATGCACACAAAGCTGACATGCCCATAAAACCCCAGCAACCCAACCCCCACTTTTTTAAAAAGTGAAATATAAGTCCACATTCAAACTCCATCACAGCAACTGGATACCATGAAGGGCAGCCTCTGGATCTTTCAGGAGTGATTGTATTTCACGTTGCAAGGAGTGTGTGTGTGTGTGTGTGTGTGTGTGTAAGTGTGTGTGTGTGTGTGTGTGAGAGAGAGAGAGAGAGAGAGAGAGCAAGAAAGAGAGGTTGAGAAAGAGAGAGGAAATTCTAGCAAAGAAATGTGTCTGCGTGCTAGAGGGTAATGCTACTCTAAATAACTTGGACTTCCACTGGCTGGCTTTTGTTCACAAAATGCTAATCCTTTTAGGTGCAGATCTATATAAAACATTGGGGATTAGAGGGCACACAGAAATCTCAACTCTCTCCTGCTACCCAAGGTAAAGATATATTTAAACTAACAGTTCAAAATTCATTTGAGGGTACTAACAAGGGGTCATTAAAACATTTCCCAGTTCTTTATGAAGTACTAATATATGCGTTATATATCATCGTATGTGCCAAACTAATAATGAACCCTAGACAGATCACTGTAGTTACATTCGAGATTGTTTTCCAATGCACAGCTGTTTGGGGGAAAGAATTTATTTCTCAAGTCAATGATGGGGGAGGGAGTCATTTCATTTCTCAAGGAAAAGCACCACCTGGCATTTGGAAATAATTCTTTGCTTACCTGTGCTGAACTAATCACTTTTGCTCTCTCTGGTCACAGCCCTCGCGGGCAGGCAGATATCATTAGCCCCTTCTTGCTGGTGAGACAACAGCGAGGAGCGGGTTAAAATGAGTTACGAAGTGTTAGAATGGGGAGCCAGAGCGGCTCCTGGCTCTCAGCCCCCAGCACTTCCTACTATCTTACAAGCAAGCCTCGGATGAAAAGGGAGCAGCCCGGGGTTTGCTCCACGTCTGGCTTCTCCTGCATGAGATCATATCCATCTACAAGGCACTCCCACGGGTCCTATTGCCAGACCGGGTTTTCTTTACGATTCAGCTCCCAAAGTTGTCAGAAATACATTTTGGACCCTGGCAACTTCAGACTGTGGCCCGGCTCCCATTGCTCTGTTGTTGCCTTTCTCCGTGTACAAATAGGTTTGGTCTCATTGAACGGTCTCCCTCCACTTGGGCAACTCCTTGAGTGGCTGCCTTGTTTGCCCAGGGAACTAAGCTGAAACGCAGGTGCTCTTTTCCACTCAGCAGATGCGAAGGCGATAAGCTGCACTTTTTAGAGCCTCCTGAGAGACTCAGACACCCCGGGCTGAGCCACTCGGATCTTGTCCAATTTCCTCCTCTCCAGCGCCAGCTCCGGCTATGGATGTGTGTCTGAGCTCCGAGCAGCAGCCTGGGCGCCTCGGGGAAGGACCAAGCTCCCCAGTTGGCTGGCTAGACGCGGAGGGAGAGACTGTCCAGAAAGATGACACCAGCGGACCTACAGGAGGTAACCCCCTTCATGACCCCAATGCCGTCTCAGTTGTTTTCCTGGTGATGGCATTTTCCAGTTAACTTTCGTGACAAGAATTCCCACTTCCTTTTAACTTTAGATTTTTCAATGATTTTTATTGCGATATAATTGACATGTAACGTTATATTAGTTTCAGGTGTATGACAGATGATTTGATATTTGGGTGTTTGGCGAAATGATCACTTCAGTAAGTCTAGGTAACATCCTTCTAGATTGTTCGTATAGTGAAGTAAGTAGAAAAATGCCTTTATGCAAGCATAAGGACGTTACAAGTAATCCCTATTTTTCATTATTTGCTTATCAAAATCCACAAATATATTTTATGTTGTGTATAAATCTAAGACTGTATTTTTTGTAATAAGAACATTTAAAAAGAATTCTGTTTTTCATCGAAATGTATTCCTGGCAGCTCTGTCATACACGGATCCATGTAGAGCAAAGTGAATTTTCTCACCAGGACAATGCAACCATTAGGGTTGCATTTCTGGACAGGGACTTAGTAGTTAATAAATGACGGACATAACAAATAATGTCATGAGAGCCAAGATACAGCATTTATAACATTTACAATTATTTAATGTGGTGCAATGATGTTCCAACTCTACTAAACCAGGATATTACTTATTTTTACTAAACTGTTTACATAAAAAATGCAACTCTACCTGTCTCTCATATCTGGTCCCTCTAAAACTACCAGTCTAGCATGGGTGCAATAAATGAAAATATTTAGTGTGCATTAAACATAAATTTCTATATTTCTATAGACTCTATAAGGTTCTAATGGGAGTATATTTATATGCCCACGCTTCTTTACCCTGTTGATTGGGAAAGCATAAACATTAGCTTACTAACCTGTAAAATAATGAGCCGTTCAAAATGGGCCCATTGACTTTTCCCCCAGTCTTGAGAGTCCCTGGTTGGCAATTTGTGGGAGGAAGGGAAGAATGAAGGTCTGGGGCACCGAGGGGGTACCTGGGGGAAGGAGGCCGGCAGGAGCTGGCATGAGTACCCGATGGTCTGGCTGATCCTGGTAGATACTCCACTGACGAAAGCCTGTGAGGAAAAGAGCACAGCCCTGTACCGACTCCTGTGCCAGCCGGCCTGTGCCAGCTCCTGAATTTCAGGAATTTGGTGAGCTGGCTATTAAACATGGCCATTATTGACATTTCAGTCACATAAATTACAATGACATTGATTATATAAAAGGCTAAGGTATATTTTAAAAAACCATAGATAATAAATACTCTGGACCGGGCATGGATTACTTTAGTGCATTTGATGATTAGCTATGTTCTTGAGGCTGTTGATGTCCATTGTATCTGGATGGTGGAAGTACTCCATTATGGTGTATGCTGCACATGTGTCCCCAGGGACATTTTATCAGCAGGTTGTTTGCATCATGGTCACTATCAAACCCTACAAACCAGTGGCAGAACCTAGCACCTCCTTGGTCATTCATAAATGTTGGGTTGGTGTTGTGTGTCAGTAGCTTCCCATAAGAGGTAGGCGAGGACCCTAGGTCTCCTTCCCTCCCCTACTGCCTCCCCACAGCCCTGACCAGGGCACTGGACAGGAAAGGCCCTTTCCCAATCTGCTGCATACTGACACTTTTTTTTTTTTTTTTTTTTTTTTTTTTTTTTTTTTTGTAAAACACAACAAAAACGAATTGCTAGGAAGACAAAATGGGAATACATACTCACAGACATGCAACATATAAGCATGTAATTAGATATAACAGACATGATCCCGTTGTGGACATTCAAAAGGCTTACTCCACATTTCTGTAGTGTTCTTTCTGGAAACCTGGTACAAGTGGGCCGCAGACCAGGGCCTAGAGCTGTCGTAGTGCCCCTGGAGAGCGGTGGTGTCTGAAATAGCCTGTCCTACCTGCCTCCAGGGGTGGACGCCAGAATAGGTTTCTTCAAAGACCTGCCACCCTTCACATCCTCCTCTGAGCATGTGCTCTTTTCCTCCCATTGTATATGGCATTTGAGAGCTGCTGGAGTGGTCAGGAGAGCAAAGAAGCATTGAACACAGCAGTAACTTGATAGTCAGAGCTCATCTGACACCCCAGCCCCCGCCTTGCCTGTGGGGCTGGCTCATGTTTGGGTGACCTATACCTTTTGAGGAGCTGATGTAAGAAGGATTTAAGGAACACACTCCAGCCAACACTAGGAATGTTACTTCAAGACCTAAAAATAGTCAGGTCCAGGTCTGCCCGGGTCCTCCTTACACAGGTGGCTCCTGTGTGCCATGTTCCTGGGCCATTTAGCTTTCTCCTGTCGTCAAGAGTGTAGCAATGGAGCCACGCTTCTTTCCTCCTCTTCTACATAGAGGGACTATCCTTGGGTATTTTGTCATAAATGATAAAGATGTCACATCTGAATGTTGTTCTTGTCACTCCATATCACTGCTTTGTGCTAGTTTGCAGCCTTTGTCACTGATAGCATCGCCCCTCTGACCCCGTCCTACCAATTGTACTAAGTGTATATTTGCAGTGAACCAACAAATCACGAAACCTATTTTATTTTCTGCCCCACAGATCTTAACAACACAGAGCCATCTCTTCGTAGCCTGCAGAAATTTGTTCCTACAGATTATGCCAGCTACACCCAGGAGAATTATCTGTTTGCAGGCAAGAAGATTGTCGTCCAAGAATCCATAGAGAGTTACGGAGCAGTGGTGTGGCCAGGGGTGAGAGAACCGTTACCCTGGGAGGGCAGGACAATTATCACACTTTTGTCCATTTGCATGGCCTTGGGCAATTTTCCAAGGACTTTAACATTTTGGGTTTCTCCAACTGAAACCCACAACCAGGGGTGCGGGTGGGGTGCTTGGGCTCCACAAATCCATCGAGTCTCCCCCATAAGCCTTGGTTTTCCTCCATGCACTGTCCCACTGCGTTAATATTAGCTTGACTACATCAGGAAGCAGGATGAAAAATTCACATGGATTGTTAAGGGAACAAGTCACATCTCGGAGTTCTGGCTTCGCCTCCTGTACCTTCGGGCCACTCCCACACACCCTCGGGTTTACGCTCTCTGTGTGCATTGTGGACACTCCAGCAGGGATGTTCAAGAACCATGGCTGCATCTCGTGTTCTCCCTGCCACGGCCCCGGGAGGATGGCGCCTGAATGGGGGAAACGCTCCGACTCCAGAGCCAGCAAACCTGCTCTTTCCTGGCTGTGTGGTCAGGGACGGTCACTTCGCCTGCTTGCCTTCATTTCCATATTTAAAGCGAGGGGTCGTGTTCACGTCCAGTTCCGAGATGGTTGTGAGGGCTCAGTGAAGTGACACACCTAAGCTCATGTTAGATCGTCATTGGGTGTTTTTTTTGTATGTGTTTATTTTTAAATATATATTTTATTGATTTTTTTACAGAGAGGAAGGGAGAGGGATAGAGAGTTAGAAACATCGATGAGAGAGAGTCTTTGACCAGCTTCCTCTTGCATGTCCCCCACCAGGGATGTGCCCACAACCAAAGTACATGCCCTTGACCGGAATTGAACCCAGGACCCCTCAGTCTGCAGGTTGACGCTCTATCCACTGAGCCAAACCGGTTTTGGCGAGATCATCATTATTAATGCAGGGTGATTAATATTAGTGAGTTACTAAATTGATAAGGAAAAGCTCCTGCCTTGGTAAGGCTATTGCCCGGGGGCGCCGGGCGCACAGGCTGGGACAGCGGCCTCAGAGGCAGCACTGCCGTTCCTTCCACCGCAGAGGTTTCCAGCCAGGGCTTAGAGAGGCTCCAGACCAACAGCTCAGCCACCAGCATGGATGTGAATCAGACTGGGGTCTCCTTAACATGCAGGTTCTAATGTGGGGAGGGGGGCACTGTGCTCTGCATGTCTCCCAGGCTCCCAGGTGACACAGAGCTGCTGGTCCAGGCACTGCACATGCAATGAGTAGCCATGAGTAGAGGTTCCGTGGAGGGCCCCCGGGGTGATCTGGGACACTGGTGGCGAGTGAGAAGGGGCAGGAGGAAGAATGGACAGCCAGGGGTCCCCACGCTCTTAGAGCTCCATCCTCTCCTCCACACACCCCATTCCCGGGATAGTCCATTTTTATTTCTTATAGACGAGTATGATTTCCTTCAAAGGCTTTTCTTCTCTCTCTCTCTTTTTTTTTAATTGAATTTATTGGGGTGATCTTGGTTAATAAAATTATACAGATTTCAGGTGTACAATTCTATAATGCATCATCTGTATATTGTACTGTATGTTCAGCACCCAAGTCAAGTTTCCTTCCACCACCATTTATTCCCCTAGCCCCCTATTCCCTTTTCCCTCTAGTAATCACCATACTGGTGTCTCTGTTTTTGTTTTGTTTTGTTTTGTTTTTTTAATATATTTGTCTAGAGGCCCCCTTGGCCTGTCCTGTGCTCTCTCGAAATCCAGGACCCCTTGGGGGATGTCAGACTGCCAGTTTCAGCCTGATCCCCACAGGCGAGGGATGTGTGTGAAGAGGCAGGAGGCCCCAGTGCCACTCCGGCTCATCCCAGCTCTGCTGCGCCTGCTGTGGGAGCACCCTGACCACCGGGGGGGAGCTCCTGAATTTAGCGTCTGCTCCCTGGTGGTCAGTGTGCATCATAGCTATTGGCCGGTCATCCGATCGTCCAGTTGTCCAGTCGACCGGTTGCTTAGGCTTTTATATATACAGATATTTGGCAAATAGACAACAATAGCAGTGGGATCAGAGATTAGATTTGTCCACTGGGCTGTTTCATGCTCATCAAGGCCTCAGCCTTTCATGCACAAACCCTGGCCCCTCTTGGAACCTCAAACTCCTGAAAATTGCAACAGGAGGATTCATGTAACACACTTGTCTTGTGTGTAGTCCAGTGCAGCTCTCCATGAAAGAGATCATTTTCCAGATTTGGCTAACAGGGCTAAGAAGGGTGAGGGAGTGTTTGTAATGCCAGAAGATGGAGCTACTCCTGCGAAAAGCATTGTTTTCAGATAGCCAACCCAGAGAGGGCAGCCTCTCACAGGGTAGGGCTATCTCTTCAGAAAACACCAAACCATGTGTCCTCTCTGTAGCTCTAGTTGACACTGTCTTCCTAATATTGAAACCCCTACATCACAAATAATTATCCTATTTTCTCAAGGGATATTTGATTGTCTGTATAAAAAGCTATCTTAATTATTTGCAAATGTTTTTAACGTCTCCTTGCTACTCATAGTGTGGTCCAGAGGCCAGAAAGCCCTGGCACCCCCTGGTGGCTTGTGGGAAACGTAGTCCTGAGAACCCCAGCCAGAGCCCACAGCACACAGACGTGCATCTTAGCCAGGCCCCAGGCGATCTCACACTAAAGTATGGGAAGTATTGTTCTGAGTCTGTTTCTTCGAGAAACCACTTAAAACAAAACAAAACTGCCCAGCCGAAACCGGTTTGGCTCAGTGGATAGAGCATCGGCCTGCGGACCGAAAGGTCCCGGATTTGATTCCAGTCAAGGGCATGTACCTTGGTTGGGGGCAAATCCCCAGTAGGGGGTGTGCAAGAGGCAGCTGATCGATGTTTCTAACTCTCTATCCCTCTCTCTTCCTCTCTGTAAAAATTCAATAATATATATATATATATATATATATATATATATATATATATATATATATATATATTAAATTTTTTTTTTTTAACTGCCCAGTTGTCCAGCATAGAAGACAAAGCCCTGGCTCACCTGAATTTTGATAGAGGCTGGGAGAGAGGTCTTGGAGAAGTTTATCCAGCATTCCTAAAGCAGGTGGAGGCATGGCATGACTAAACCAGCGGAGGAAGTTGCTGTTCTGCAGGCCTCACCTCCTGGGTTTGCATGAGATGAGCTGATCTTCCAGTTCCTGGAGACTGAGCAAGAGTCTTCTATTCACAAACCTGTTCCTCTAGTTCCTCTGATGTAGATTGTAATTTTCATATTCCAGAGGTCTAAACACACTATTAAATGTATATTTTGATTCTGATGAACCTTTCAATAAACGATTAATGACATGTCTTATAGTATTTAATTTTGGGTGGGGATTGAGGTGGCTACTGCTTTCCAATGTTGCAATGCCCAAGTGACAACTGTACATCTTTTTCAGGCTATGGCTTTGTGTCAGTATTTGGAGGAGCACACAGAGGAATTGAATTTTCAAGATGCTAAAATACTTGAGATTGGTGCTGGACCAGGCCTAGTTTCCATCGTGGCCAGTTTTTTAGGTTTGTTTCTTTACTTATTCCTGACCTTGTTTCAAAAGACCTTTTTTGTGACAATAATGATAAGGAGTATGACAGGCTGGTGGTTTAGGTGCTTGGCCCTGATTTCACTCGTTGAATCTCCCCCAAATGTCACAAGCTAGAATTACTACTGTTATCCCCAGAGATAAGATTATTGGATCTTAAGGAAGTTCAGTAATTTGCCCAGTCCACCATACCATGTGATGAAGTTGAAAATTTGGAGGTATGACTTTCAAATCCTCTGTTGTGAACAACTATGCTATGTTGACTCCTGCTCTTGGTTGCAAATATTATCACTAACATTTTGAAGGAAGTAAAAAGTGAGTTAATCCAAGGTAAAAACAGATTTATACCCAAAATGCAGGTTGTGAGTTCCAGGGCACTGGGCAAGAGGTGGTACTAATCTGGCTACTTCTGCCTGCATTACTATAGTTCTTTCTTTAAAACTAATCTGGAAATATAGTGATCTATTTGGTGAACCATAGTCACCAGCTTTAAAATGCCTGTCTAAGAATTAATTTAGATAAGGGTGAGAATCAGACAAAATAGATTATCTTTTGTGGAAAAAAAAAATTGAGTGCTGAATACTTCATGTAAGAGAGAAAGAAAATCATCAGATAAATGTATTTTTAGAGGGAAAATTATGAATTACTATATTAAGCAGCTACTGAAAACCATAATATCAATATGTTTAGCTAATTGTCCTGAAATCTCTTAACATTGCACCATTGCTTAGTTTCTTAACAGATGGTTCTCAACCAAAGGTGATTTTTGTCCCACGAAGGACATGTGGCTGTGTCGGAAGACATTTTTGATTGTCACAATTTGGGGATGGGTGGGGCGGTGCTACTGTCGTCTGTTGGATGGGTAACAGAGACACTCGCAAAAGTCTTACAAAATATAGGGCAGCCCCCCCAGCCCCGCCCCCAAAAGAATTATCCAGTGGAATTATGTCAAATGTGTCCAGCCCATATGTCAATAGGGCCAAGGTTGAGAAGCCCAGTTCTAGTCCTTTTCTTTCTCCCTGAGAGTATATGTTCACGCTAAATGCCCAACCGATTCCAGGTAATTATTACATTTTTTCCTCTTTCTCTCTTAGGAGCACAAGTCACGGCCACGGATTTGCCTGATGTCCTAGGAAACCTTCAACACAACCTTTTAAAGAACACACTAACACACACAGCACATCTGCCTGAAGTGAAAGAACTGGTGTGGGGAGAGGGCCTGGAACAGAACTTCCCCAAGTCGACTTTCTATTATGACTACGTTCTGGCCTCCGACGTGGTCTACCACCACTACTGCCTGGACAAGCTGCTCTCCACCATGGCGCACCTCTGCCAGCCCGGGACTGTATTGCTTTGGGCAAACAAGTTCAGGTTCAGCACTGACTATGAATTTCTAGATAAATTCAAGCAGGTTTTTGATACAACATTCTTGGCTGAATTTCCAGAGTCGTCAGTTAAAATTTTTAAAGGAACATTAAAATGGGACTAAATGAAACAAATTGCCATTCAAAAACTTAGCTTGCATTTTGAGCAGTGTTAGAAATTGTATTGTCAATAAAACACTTATAAGATTGAGAAGGTAGTGCATAAAAAAATCTTGTACATGCAAAACAAACAGAACTTAATATTAGAGCAGCTATCTAAAAGCACCTATTTAAGATTATCTGGTTAATCTAAACATCTGTAAAGAATAACGTGAAAATATAAAAATAGCTTTGCTGGCTTCCCGAAGTCTCAACTAAATGTCCAGTAAAATTTTACATGAATAAATTAATAAGCAAGTTTTAGTATAATTTACAACATACTTGTTTGTCTCAGTTCATTCTCCTCATATAAACCACGAGGTAGGTTTTATATTTTCCAGCTTTTTCTACAGAAGCTGGCAGCTACAGTACTATAATGTAAGCCAACTTTATTATTCTCCTACTATGACTGCAACTAATTTTGATTTCCTGTAGTTCTTGTTGATGGGCATTTTTTCCATTGGGTTACAGTGAAACTGGCAGCACTGCAGCACATTTAAAGAACAACTACTGGGAGAAGACACATTCACGGAATATGTTTTGACTGCGTTTCTCATTAATAGAGCTCCCTTCCTCTACATCTGGTTCTCTCTGCAGGTCCCAAGAGAAATGAAAGGAGGATACCATACTATGAGTAAGCAGTTGTACACTGCAAATAAAAAGCAAAGCAAGTGTCTTTATTTATGTAGTTCACTTAGTCTGGAAAGCCCTTTCCTTGACCTTTTCTATCAACTTAATCCTCATTCCCACAGTCTCCCAGAAAGCCTGACCTAAATTCTCAAATCAAACATGGCTGCACTTGTGTACCTCACAGCACTGCATCTCTGTACTTCCATTCTACATACTCCAGTCTACTTCAGAGTCAATTCCAGATCAGCAGGCCCCGACTAGATATCAGTTTCCTGAGAGTGTATTTAGGGCTTATGGTGTCCTGCATACAGTAGAGATCCAATTAACATTGGATTAACTGAGGGGTTTTTGTTTGCTGATTTTTATGTCCATTTTTTAAAAGTATTTTTATTGATTTCAGAGAGAAAGGGAGAGAGAGACATCAATGATGAGAGAGAATGGTTGATTGACTGCTTCCTGCAAGCCCCATACTGGGGATCGAGTTTGCTACCTGGGCATGTGCCCTGACCAGGAATTGAACTATGACCTCCGGTCATAGGTCAATGTTCAACCACTGAGCAATGTTGGCTGGACATAATCAAGTCCATTCCTAAAACAGGAAACTAACCTATTACGCTTGATGTAGTGACACCTGGACAACCAACTATAAAAAGGCATGGGCCAATGTTTCCAATATTTGAAACATAAGCTGTATTATGCTTCCATAATACATTGTGTCATCAATGACTTCACTTGAAAGAGAGAATTTTCCTGAGAGAATTCCTTTGAACATAAAATATTGTCCCACATTTCAAGAACTATATTATTATTGTGTGAAAATATTTGCAAAATATGGTTTATATATAAAAAAAAAACACCCATAACTAAAACAGTGGCTATAATAAAGAAGTCTGAATTAGAATGATTCAGAGGATATTCTCAAACTATAAAAGCTTAACTCTATTCCCAAAGTATTTATAATAGCAAAACATTGTTCAACTGTGTGGTTAAGTAACTTCTGGCACCACCCACCATTAGTGGAATATGTTACAGCCATTCCAGGTAGAACAGCTTAGTTGGGTTTTAGTGTTGGGAAGTAGTAATGAGGCCAGCTTAAGTGTGGGGAAATGCTAGATACAAAATTGAACCCATTTGGGGAAAACTACAATATGACTGAAGGAAAATACTGAATGATTTGTAGTATTGGGTAGCAGGGCAATAGCTGGTTTCACTTCCATCCTACACTTGAAATAATGTATTCAGAAATGACTCCTCGGGAGATTCCTATATAAATTTGTGATTAGTGACAAAGGTGAAGGGGAAATAAGGCTCCAGGGAGAACTTGAGAGTTGAGATTTCAAATATAAGAAATTCGTTTAGAGCTTTATAACAAACAAGAAAAATGTATTGTTCCCCTTTGTGGGAGAAAAACAATTATAGGAGTACTAAAAAGTTAAGATGCTGCCTAGGGTCTATCACAGCATTCAAAGTGCCACTATGGCTCAGCCAGCATGGCTCAGTGGTTAAGTGTCGACCATGAACCAAGAGGTCAAGGTTTGATTCCCTGTCAGGGCATATACCTGGGTTGTGGGCTCAATTCCCAGTTTGGGACGAGCAGGTGGCAGCTGATTGGTGATTCTCTCTCACCATTGATGTTTCTATCTCTCTCTCTCTCTCCCTTCCTCTCTGAAATCAATAAAATATATCTTAAAAACAAAATAGCAACAAAGTGCCACTGTGATTTGGCTTCCTCCATCCCCTGCCTTGAATAAAACGTCATCTTATATTTTGTTGGAGTCCCTACACCTGGGACAACAGTTCCTCTTTACAGGGTTCTCTTCACAGAGCTTGTCTGGCGATGACTGCATTATCAGAAAACTCTGCTGCAAGCCCCTAGACAAGAAGCCATGGTTACAGAGGTGCCAACGTCGTGCCACATGGCGCCCAGGCACGCTCTGCATGAATAGTGAGTATCATGAACCCTGCAGGACAGCTCTGCTCCAGTGACTTGTAAACTGAAGACAGCATCTCAATCTCATAGACTAACACATGTGTCAAACACAAGGCCCGCGGGCCAAATCCGTCCCGCCAGGCCTTGCAATGTGGCCCGCACCGCGCTGTCATCACTGCACTCCGCTGCGTTTCCATCACAATGACAGTTTATGACTGTTCAGTAAACCATTCGGCCCGCGATTTAGGCTGGATTTTAGATTTTGGCCCCTTCTCTGATTGAGTTCGACACCCCTACTCTAAGGCTTCCTGGATTCATGCTTGTCATAAGTTCACGCAACTACCTTTTCTTGATGCGCAAAATAGTTTATTTCCTGCAAGAACTCTTGCTAGCAACTTGGAGATGATTTTAAGGGAAGGTAGAGGTTAGAATCTGAAATTCTTCTGTTTCCACTTGGATTTAATACTTAACTAGGGAATTAATACTTAACTACCTTCTTTGCCATACGTAAGCATGTAAATATTTAGTGCACAGGTCCCAGAAATCTAGAAAGTTACATATAAACTGAAGGCAAAGGTACTGCCAAACTATGTAATAGTATGATGACTAGCAAGTCTGTGGTTCTTTGAAGTTAATAACTCTTCCTACACATGGTTGTCTCATAGATGTTTGTGCTATCGATACAATGGAAGATACAACCCCAGTATTGGAAATGCAGGTTGATGACCATGACGATATAGAGACAAAAGGAAAAACTGAGCAACCGATTCAGGAAAACAAACCCAAAAGGAAGCCAACTATTAAGAAATCACAAGGCAGCTCAGTCACTGTGGCTCTGTGGTTGAACATCCACCCATTAACGAGGTCACAGTTCCATTCCTGGTCAGGGCACATGCCCGGGCTGCAAGCTCAATCCCGCAGTGTGGGGCCTGCAGGAAATGGCCAATCAATGATTTGCTCTCATCTTTGATGTTTCTATCTCTCTCCCTCTCCCTTCCTCTGTGAAATCAAGTTTTAAAAATATTTGACTTCAGAGAGGAAAGAAGGAAAGATAAAAACATCAATGATAAGAATCACTGATCAGTTGCCTCCCATAATTGAGCCCACCCTGAACGGGAATCGAACTGTGACCTCCTGGTTCATAGGTCGATGCTCAACCACTGAGCCATGTCGGCGGGCAAGAATAACATCTTAAGGATAGGTTAAAATTCACTCACTCCTCTCTACCCCAGAAACCCATAGGGAGCATGTCCTGTTAGCTGCAGAAATCTTCCAGCATTGTGATTATAGCCCTGAACTGTTATGTCTACATGAAGTGACTGGCAATGGAGAACATGCACCATTAAGAGTATGCCAAAAATTTTTAAAAAGCTGTAAGTACTTTGAAATAAAGATGACTCATTGTAATCAAGCAGAAATAACAGACATCAACTTTTTTTTTTACATTTTTAGAGAATTTTTTAAATTTTTTATAGTATATTTTTTTTATTAAATTATTATTTTTGTACATATACCAATGCCCCCACCCTCCCGTACATACCCTCCCTCTCCAGAGTTTTGTGCCCATTGGTTGTACTTATATGCATGTATACATGTCCTTCGGTTAATCTCTTATCTCCCCCAGATCTCCCCAACCTCCCCGCTGTAATTTGACAGTCTGCTTGTTGCTTTACTGTCTCTATATCTATCTTTTGATTCTTCAGTTTATAATGTTCTTTATCATCCATAAATAAGTGAGATCATGTGGTGTCTCTCTTTCATTGACTGGCTTGTTTCACTCAGCATGATGTTCTCCAATTCCATCCAGGTTGCTGCAAACAAGACATCAACTTTTAAATCTTCCCATACAAATGCATCTTAAAATCAAATCTTGTAGCAATTGAAATAGACTGGGCTAGAGTACTGTGGTAAATGGAAGCTAGCTTTGGCTTCTGTCTATTTCTGCAGAAAACTGATGATTCTATAACAAAAAAGAAATTAATTTTTCCCTAGCAGGTTTGGCTTAGTGGATAAAAGATTGGCCCACAGACTGAAGGCTTCCAGGTTTGATTCTGCTCAAGAGCACATACCTCAGTTGCAAGCTCGGTTACATGTGGGAGACAATCAATAATGTGTCTCTCTCACATCAATGTTCCTGTCTCTCCCCCTCCCTTCCACACTCTGTAAAAATTAATGGGAAAATATCTTCTGGTGAGAATTAACAACAAAAAATTAATTTGGATCTAGTGATTCAATTAGTTGAAATAAATCTTAAACGATTTTTGGTGAAGTTCTGGTAACTGCCAGTAACTTGGTAGGGGGAGAGGTGGTGGAATCTGTGGTTCAATGACCTTTTATATCTTACCAGTGAAAATTACTACAGCAAATACTATTTTTCATTAAAAACCCTATTGTTTCTTTTCTTTGATTTCTTGGAAGAGAAATAACACTTTACTACAAACTAATTTGTAGTTAATGAGGAAATGAGACTTAAAAAATAGTATTTTATGTTTGTATAGTCCTTTGCAAGTTACAAAGCCTTCCTACATAATTTGCTTTCAGTAGTTTATCATTTGATAACTTTTTGCATTTTATATTTACACTAGAGACCCGGTGCACAAATGGGGGTCGGGGGTGTCCCACAGCCCAGCCTGCACCCTCTCACAATCCAGGACTACTGGCTCCCAACTGCTTGCCTGCCTGCCTTCCTGGTTGCCCCTAACCGCTTCTGCCTGCCAGCCTGGTCACCCCATAACCACTGCCCTGCCAGCCTCATTGATGTCCAACTGCTCCCCTGCCAACCTGTTTGCCCCCAACTTTCCTCCTCTGCCAGCCTGGTCATCCCCAACTGCCCTTACTTGGCCCTCCCCTGCAGGCTTGATCCTCCCCAACTGCCCTTCCTTGCAGGCCTGGTCCCTCTCAACTGCCCTCCCTTGCAGGCCTGGTCCCTTCCAATTGCCCTCCCCTGCTGGCCATCTTGTGTCCGCATGGGAGCAGGATCTTTGACCACATGGGGGCAGCCATCTTGTGTGTTGGAGTGATGGTCAATCTGTATATTACTCTTTCACTAGATAGGATCAAGGCCTGGTACATGGGTAGGAGCCAGCTGGTTTGCCCTGAAGGGTGTCCTAGATCAGGGTGGGGGTTCCCTTGGGGCATGGGGTGGCCTGGGCAAAGGGCCTGTGGTGGTTTGCAGGCCAGCCATGCCCCCTGGTGACAGAAGCAGAGGCCTTGGTATCTGGAATTTATCTTCTACAATTGAAACTTTATAGCCTGGAGTGGAGGCCTAGGCCAGCCAGGGCTGCAGAAGCTTGGCTTCCTCCATTGCCTGAGGAAACCCTAGTCTCCTGCTCTTTTAGCTCCATGGCTGTCGCCATATCTGTTAGAATTTATTTACCTTCTATAATTGAAACTTTGTACCAGAGTGGAGGCCTGGGCCTGCCAGGGTGTGTAGAAAGCTTGATTTCCTTCATTGCCAAGGAAACCCAAGCCTCCTTCCTATTCTGTGGCCATAGCCATCTTGGGTGGGGTTAATTTGCATACACACTCAGATTGGCTGGTGGGCATGACTTGTGAGTGTAGCAGAGTGATGGTTAATTTGCATATTACTCTTTTATTAGATAGGATAACTTTTATATTGTAAAACTAGGGCTTTCAATTGGTGTTTTTAGTTATATAGTTTACCATTTAAACTTAAATATTATCTTGAAGGAAAACTAGGGCAAAAAGTGAAATTTTTCTTTGAAGTTTGAGAGGCCATATTTTATACATATGGGTATAACTGGAAGTGGTTTTGCTCAGGGAAGCTCTTTCTGATGGATTACAGCCAGTTGGTACAGATTTTATTTAAGAGATAAACCACACACCTGTTCTTCTTTTTAAGTTTTAAGTATATATTACTAAATCGAATATGGGCCAAAGAAAAAAAATTAAATTTATGAAGGCACTAGTTTTGGAAAACTATTGAACCATCCTCAAGAGGATAGTTTGGTGTATCTTAACTGACTAACTTATAATCAGTAATTAGGAGGAAAGAAAGTAGAAGTGATGTTGGTTTATAGCATAAGAGCAGAAAATGAGAAAATAAAAATTTGCATTGAAGACTTACTATCATCTCATCTCTTAATTCTCTCTAGTAAACCCTTAGTAAAGTGTGGTTAAAATTTTTTAAGTATGTTTTCTAATAAAATCAGAACAAGATCATTTGATAATGGTGCATGAGGTTTTATTGATTACGGTACAAACTAAAACAAGAAAAAGAAACATTCATTTAAAAACACCAAAGACCCTTACATAGCAAAGGTTAAGAAATAAATTAAGACTCCTGTTGGGCTGTGCTGGGGGAAGGGTAGGCCTCATTCACTTCGATCCTTGGGCTCTCGGTATTTCCACTGGATGTAGTCAAAGATGTCTTTCTCACTATCCACCGGCAGGGGTTCTCCAGCAACTCCTACAAGAGACAAAAGAATCAAAGGTTTTAGAGGGTTCAGGACTGACAGTTGTATAGGACATACCGTGTTTCTCTCTCATCGATGTTTCTAACTCTCTAGCCCTCTCCCTTACCACTCTGCAAAAAAATCAATTAAAAAAAAAACAAAAAAACATGGGATCAAAGCTACCAGATTTGGCTTGGCACTGAAAGCAATGCTACCTGAATGCTTCAGAAGTCTTGGAGATACATTTTAAAAAACAATAAAGTTTAGACCAATAAAGTTTATTGTTACTGACCATCACAGGTAGAAAGAATTTAATCCACTGTGATAGAGCTAGAATTAATTTCTATCATCATGGGCCTTCAAGTGGGAGCCTGGGAACGTATATGGATTAAAGCCCCATTTGTTGCCTGATGAACTAACAATACAAAGTAATTAACTGGCATAGTTATTTGAAGGCTTTTTAGAGAAATCAAAGTTGCTAAACCAAAATATCTTGAAAAGAACTTTCTCTTCAGATGACTGGGGTTTTCTCTAAGGAACACAAATACTCACCAGTGACTCCTAGAGGACGAATTGTGTATTCATTGATTGTGAAACCCTTTTCTAAGGCATGAGTTCGCATATTCTTATTGAAAATATCACTCCCAGTGAAATAGAGAACACCACAGTAATATTGATCCTTGGGTATCAACCTTAAAAAAAAAGCAATAGAGAAATCTTCTACTACACATTTCAAATGTAGCAAAAATAAGATTCTTAAAAATCAGTTAGATACAAAGCACCTAAAATGTTAGTCTATGTGTCATATAACCTGAAAAGGAGACTATCATTAGGTAAATCATTCAAACTACCCCAACCCTGCAGTTTAGTAAACTATGCTCCGCAAGAGGTGTGGAGAAATGAAAAGCAGTGTCACTTATTGCAATAACTTTCCCCAGGCGGGAAATGACTTTTGAGGTGTGGAAGGCATCCTGATGAGATGGATAGCTAGAGAAAATAAATTAGATTCTGTAGACAGTTATTATTTCTACATTTCAGGCTAACCATTTTCTACAGCAGAAACATAAGGTACTTCAGAATGAAAAGGGATTCTGGGTATTTATGTGAATTCCAAGATAAATAGAGGGAGGGGGGAACGGAAAAAAGAAGGGAAAGTTAATAGGTCAGTGACAAATACCTGATATCAATTCTCCTGTGTGGATATTCCTTTCCATCATTTTTACTGGGAAGCTGGCAAACACCCTGAAATGGATATTTAAAAGAATGTATAATGATATTTTTAAACTAAAAGCTTAATTTTAATTAAATGTTGTTAAATGTGAGGTAAGTTTTGTTTTTATGGAGCATTTTTTAATTTGGAGCACTTTTAACTTAGTTTTTCTATGCACTGTACATTATCACTACCTTCTTATTATACTTCCTGATAATTAAAGAACTACATGCAAGGCAAGGATGAGAGTGATGAGGATTTGGCCTTTGTGAATTCTAAACAACAAGCTAATTGAGGAAAGCATCAAACATGAGAGACAGACCAAAACAAACAGAAAAAAAGCAACTTGGAAAAAATGATTATGCAGGAAAAAGAAAACAAATAAAAAAGCTATTAGAGAAGAAGTAGGAGAGTTTGAAATTGTGGAAACCTCTCAGAAATGAGACCAAAAGAAGAATAATCTAAGATAAGAAAACCAGGGGATTATTTTCTTCCTTCTCTACAAGTGGGTTTTCATTATACTTCTAGTTTTCAAACAGATATTTTCAAGGTCTGTTTTGTTATCTTTTCCTTTTTCAGCAAAATAGGCAAAAATTCTGGACTAGTCAGCAACCCATAAATATGTAAAAAGAACTACAAACATAAGTAAATTTCAAAATAAAACTTTCAAATGCCACATTCTAAGAAAAATATACAAGTGTCAGGCTTCTGATTCTGAAAAGTAGTTGAGTTGGTACATACCACTAAAAGCCATACTTTTTCACTCAGCAACGTAGAAAAGTTAAAATCTAAAATCCAAAATGGGTTGCTATGGCTGAAAGATTAATAAAACCTATTTATGTTCAAAATATGAAACCTACCTTCTTTGGCATTAATAAGTCCCAACTCAACGTTTAAATGAATCAGAAACTACTTCTATCTGGAATTACCATGAGGTATTACCTTTCAGATATGGATGTTTCAATGCCACAGGCAATGATCTTACTGTTCATCTCATCAGAACTAGGTCTTCATCTAATGGCTTAGTTCTTTTCTTCAAGGCTAATTTTATTTCCTGCACTTTTTCTGAAGTGCTAGTGTCAAAGAATTTCTCTGTGTTATTGTACACTAGTGGCCTGGTGCACAAAATTTGTGCAGGATGGGGGGAGGTGTCCCTCAACCCAGCCTGCACACTCTCTAATCTGGGACCCTTCGGGGAATGTCTGACTGCC